TCTAGTAGTACAACTCTTTTGACTCTCTTATTACTGAAGAAGAAGTTCTTTAAACTATATCAAAACTTTCAAATAGAAAAGCCTGTAGTCCTATAGGCATTAGATATGAAATGCTTAAACATGCAGATATTATCTGTATTAAAGCTATTACTGCTTTACTTAATTGCTGTCTTACTTCAAATCAGATTTCTAAGCAATAGAAACATAGTAGAATATATCCTACTTTTAAACATAACATATTTAATAGTGACTTAAATCTTACTTGCCCTATAAGTCTTATTGAATACATTTAAAAAGTGTATACAAAAATTCTTACTACTAGAATTAGTACTGTGTTTTCACAGCATTCCATCCTATTACTATATAATTACATAGTTTTACCTAACAACAGCATATCTATATTTAATAATCTCATTGAAGATGCATCATATAATTAAAAATCAATCTAGCTTATGTTTTAAGATATAAGCAAAGCATATGACTCTGTTAATCTAATTCTACTTCAAAAGTCTTTTCAACACCTTGTCTTGCCTAACTTTATTACTAATGACATCATTAATATACTTACTGATTGATACAACCAAGTTATTACAAATCTTGGTCTTATCTCATTATACCTAGTACTTAATAGAATTGATCAAAGTGAAACTATTACTTCACTTTTATGAAGGATTTATTATGACCCACTCATTACCTATATTTATAACAACTTTAAAGATTATACTATACAAGTTTTCTGGTCTACTAACCTTAAACACAAAACATACAACAAATCCAACTCACATTGTTCAGTTCTTGCTTATATAAATAACACTCTATAGGTTGCATCCTTATAACAAGAGCTATTGCAAATCCTATCAACAGCTGAATCTTTCTTTAATATGGCCAATATTTAAATCAACCCTTCCAAGTCCTTAATAACAACTAACAATATCTCAACTAACTATACTTCTATTATATACAATAATTATTTTCTTAACCTACATCTATTAAATAAACTATTTAAATTTCTTGGATGCTGGTTTACATTTAACAACAAACAAATTAAACAAACTAAACTTATCATTACAGAGTTATTACACCTTATCAAAATTACAAGCACTAAACAAATTACTGACACACATGCATAATATATAATTAATATTATCATTATTTTTACAATTGAGTATTGTCTTTACAATGTTGTTCTTAGTCAAAACACATGCAACAAAATTCTTACAAATCATATTGAACTTGTCAAAAATAAGGCTAAACTCAATCATACAATCTTAACAAGTACACTACTCCATCCTTAACTTTATAATATTCATAACATATAGGATATTTAACTACAATACTATATTAAAACTTTACTAAAGACTCAATTTATCTAACCTTTTGGGAATAAATTCTTACATTAGACTCTAACAACTTCAAAATAATTTATAGTCACTTACTAGTATTCTAATACATAATAATCCTATTATTGATAGTCCCAACAAACACACAGTTAATTTTAAGATTATTTAACTTTTTAAACACTTTGGTGTAATGTTTACATCTAATCTACTATACAATATTTCATATACTATTCAAAAGGGCTCTACCTTACTTGAATCACTACTGTCTTCACATTCTAAATATATAATATTTAAGAAACAACTCAGACATCATGGCATTTTATATTTAGACCAACTTACCACATTTGACAACTTATATATTTTAGACTGAAAATATATTTCACCACATATAAACAAAATTTCTAAAGGCAAACAACCCTTCTGATTCACCTATTTGGAGGACCAAGTTACAAGTCATTCTTATAATTGTACTCTTTATCAACATTTACACTTACTCAATACAAACTATTATAGTTATACAACTAGACATTTTTCTTCACAGAAAAAACCATGGCTTATTACAGTTCTTGATGATGAAATTATTATTGGCAAAGCTAGAAGACAGTTCTTACCATCTGGAACTGTTCTTATAACTCATTAACAATATCACATAGAACCACAATTTATTCGCCTCTATCTTCTCTTACCTATTTAATCAAATGCATGTTTAGACTATTATTTTAATTCTCATACAATAGCTAATAAATGCATAATTATTATTCCTATTAATGTTTCAATCAAATTTTATGATCAAGTTAATACATACAACAAAACTTTTAACTTTAATGCCAACTATCTTGACCTTATATATTCTATTAGAATTAGACATTCTATTCAAACTCCAAATACTTTTAACATTACCATTATAATATACTCAATTCCAAATATCTTTGAATACAGTTTACTTATAAACAATCTTTAGCAAATTGCTAACTATAATTCCAACTCATTAGAACTTTACTTTTATACAAATGGCTCAGTCATAAACTTGGGTACCTCACAATAGGCTCAAGTTTCAAATGACTCTATACTCATATCTTTCAAGTTCAAACTAAATATTGGTCTTGCTTATTCAAGTCTGAGCTTATTGTTATTCTATTAGCTCTCATTACTGCTCCTAAAAACTGTACTATAAACATATATACAGACTCACAATCTGTAATTTCTAAATACAACAGTCTTTCAAACTTAACAACAATCATATCATATACTCATACATTATACTTCTCACTATAGAACATACTTATCAACTTTATTAAATCATATAACATTAATATTATCTTTCACAAAGTTACTACTCATCAAAATAATAAATATAACAATCTTGCTGACCAACTAGTACATAACTATTACAACCTGCTATACCTCATTTTTACACCTTATAATACTTACAACTTAGCTTATATTCTAACTTTTGAGAATTTTCCTTTAGAGTTATCTACTCATTGCAGCATCATACAATATGTTATACACATATATATACACTTTGGATAACACAAAACTACTTTTAAAAGTAGCATAAAATCCTTAACCAAGTTAATTGGCAAGCCACTTGGCTCTACATTAACAATAATCAAAAAATCTCTAACTTTTCTCACAGCTTTTAGTCTTCTACTCTTAAATTCTTTAGAATTAAAATCCTATTAGATGAACTTCCTACTCTATATATTCTATATAAACACTATCCTTCATACTCACCTATTTGTCACCAATGTTACCAAACTAGTTCACATTTTCACTGAACAACTTGTCCATCCAACCAACTATTATTTAACCTTATTAATATCTCATTACAATATACTCTCAACTCAAATATACTTAATTCTATATCTAATAATATAACCAACTTATACCACCAAATCAAACTACTTTACAGCATAACTATTCATAATAAATCTGATGTACTATCAATTTTCAACTCTAACAGACTTAATACCAAATGAACTCATTAACACTATTGTAAATTTGTCTTCCAAAAAAGTAGCTACTACACTTTTTATAAAGTTTTTACTTCATCTTAACTAACAAATCTATTACAAAATCTGGATCTCATACTATATTTCAAGATCTACAGCCCAACTTCCAAATTATATTCCTTTATTAAATTCTGTTCTTTCTGTATTACACATTCCTTCTTTTAATTTAATTAGTTCAAAAATTAATTCCTGATATATCTAATAGATCAAATATTAAACTAATCTCCTACATATTATTACTAATACTTAAATCTAGATGAGCCTTAGTCACTCTGGTTGGTTTAGGTCACAGATAAATTAGTTTGAACTTCTATTCTTTCTATAATATTTTAAAAATAGATTAATACTTTATATAAAATCTTAATTAAATATTCAATAAAGATAGAGGCATGGCCTTACCATTAATATTTAAAAAAAAAAATAAAATAACTATCAAAATGATAATAAAAGTAAAGATGATAAAATATCTGATAATTTAAATAATATTATTAACAACAATTTAATCAATAGTGTAAGTAAACTTAGATCTTTCAAAGAGTTGCATATTAATAATATACCAGTTACTAAAAAAGAATTTATTCTAATTTTTATTCAAAAGGTAGTAAAAAAATCTAATTAAACATCCAATAATCAAGTATTCTCAGATAAAAATAATAACATATCAGAAAATTACTTTATATAATCTTATATTATCTGTGTATCTTATAGTAATAAACCTTTAAATAAATATGAAGATTCATCTCTTTTTTCTATTAAATTTCTAGTTCTATATCTATATGGAGTTGGGGGCCATGAAGGCAGATTAATACATATGTTATGCTAATCATTTAATACATTATTATGATCCTAAATTCAGAAAATATAAATTATTTTCTTTTGTTCTTTTTAACATATTACAATAAAGAGAAGTGTCTGCACAATCCTATAATTTAACTTGAAACAAAAATTTTAAATGATCAGCTAATCAAATTTCTATATTCAAACTGCAAGATATAAAACAAGTTATTGAGCAGAAACAAAAAAATAATCTATATCTAATCCTACAATTCTCAAATTGTTCAGAAATATTAATACTGCTAGATCTAAGCTAATGGCTTCTTGCCAATCATATGCTTGTATGTGCAATGATATCCATATTGTAATTATATATAATAGTGCTTCTTCACTGTTTATTACAATAAACTCAGCTAATCTTTATAGTTCTATTATTATAATATATGCTGAAAATAAAATAGATCTTGAAAAACATATTTAAAAATTTTTAAAAAGCTACTAAAAGATCTAAACTAGCACATTTTGATCCTTCAACTGTTTCAAAATATTTTGATGTAATTATCTAGGTAATTATAAAGCCTTAATTCATTATAAGTAGTAGTATATTTAATACTAAAAAAAAATAATATTATTTAATTTATATAGGCAATTATAAATACCTTAATTAGTTATAATAAAATAAATAGAAGTATATTTAGTTCTATAAAAAACTACTATTATGTTGTTGAATATTAAGATTAGGATACTTCTTATTGTTATATGCTTATATGGCTACACAGTGCTCCTAATCCAATTATATTATGTTATAAGATTAAAGAAGATGAGAAATTTTGTTAGCATTTACTATTCTATATTAGCAGTATTATTTGAGAAGATATTAGTCATCTTCTCAAAAAAGATGAAGTGCTGACTGATGAAATGCTTAAAGTTGAATATACAACACCAAAAACAATTCTTAAAAAAAGATTGCATCCATCTTTTATGTCTATACCAGATCTCAAATCTTCTAATTTTGAAGATAAATTATATTAGAACTTACTTGTAATCACTAAATATATGCTTTTTTATAACTGCAATTGAAGTTGCAAAAAATATAATTGTGGCTTACAAAAATACTGTAGGTTCAATTTCTCATGAAAGCTAGTAGACCCTTCTGAAATTATCTTTTTTGATTAAGATATTATTGCTACTTAGTATGTTAACATTTTTATAAATAACTATAATCTATATGTAACTGCTACTTATAAAAAAAACAATGATATTAAATTTATTACAACTTATAAGTTAATACTAACATATATTTATTATATTACTAACTATATTACTAAGTTAGATCTTAGTATGCATAGTTCTTTTTTAATATGCATTTCTATTTTACAAACATTTATGGCACAAGCATCAAATGAGTTCTCTATTGATCTTATAAATAAATTGCATAAACTTGTTACAAAATATCTTAACAAGATAATTGGTCAAACAGAACTTACAAGCCTACAAGTTTTTGTCTATTTTTTAAATATTTCTAATCATTATACTCTAAACATATTTGTATTAATACATCTTCAGTTGTTTGTGACTTATCTTAAAAGAGAATATGAAAAATATTATCAAAACTTATCCCAGAACTTATATGATTCTGATGATAATTTAGATACTGATGATTAAAATATAATAGATAAGTCATTTATTATCACATCCTTTAATAATAAACTAAATGCAATAAATCTTCATGTTGATTACCAATTTCAAGGCTTATTACTATGCAATATTTGCTTTTATGATTATGTAACTTGTATTCAAAAAGTCTCTATAAATTCATATGAACTTATTATGCTGTCAGGTCAATATTTAAGAAAAAAAAATAATAGGTTTTTTTTTCAAAAAAGTGAATTAAATTCTGATTTTATTTATGAATCTAATAATATATATTCTCAAAGTCAAACTTATATTCAAGTATGTAGAAGAAAAAGGACTGAAAGAGTAGTTGTTTTGTGTAATAAGAAAGTATCTAAAAAGGGAAATATAGAAAACACTAAATATTATAGATTAAATATTCTTATACTGTTTAAACTGTAGACAACTATTTATAATCTTTTAGAAGATTATAGCATATGGTCTAAAGCATGTTAAGTTTTTTTGACTAACTCCAATATATTATTTCACTTAAAATCTATAATTTCAAATATAGATTTATTGTATAAGTGTTTATAAGAAACAATGCTAGAATATAAGCTACATAAAAGTGCAAAGAATGATTCACTTTTTGTGAAAGCTTGTTATATTAATTATTTAGTTCCTAGATATAATGCAGATAGTTTGGATAACCTTTTTGATAATGATAATAATTTAAATACTTCAGAAAGTATAACTATATTTGATCTTGCTACTATTATTTGATCTGGTTTAAAAGATATCAAAATAGTTGATACTATTATGAATATTTTGTAAATTAAAAAAAGATTCTCTATAAAATACTATATAAACTTAAATAAGTTAAGTAATACTAATAATTTTATCATAAAAAACATATATCAAAGTAATGTATTTGATAATAAATTTTTAAAGATCTGGCAAAATACAATTATTTTTTAAAAAACTTTACAATCTAACAATACCTCTAATAATAATTTATCACTAAATCCTAAATCTCATAATCAACCTATTTCCTTGCATTTTCATATTACTAAAAAAAACATTAATTTTTTAAAATATTTTGCATCTGGTTTAAATGAAGAGCAAAAAAAAGTTTATCTTGTATGTGACCATTGTTGAAGAAATCAAAAGACTTGCAAACTTAAACCATCATAGCTGTAACTTTATTTTGAAGATGTAAAAAAAATTAGTAAATTCAGAGTTATCAAAACAATTGTTTCTTATTTTGAGTACATGTTTTAATTTTATACCCTTTTAATATTAGCATCTACTGGAATTGCTGCTGCTAATGTTTATAAAAGTGCTATTTATTTTGCTTATAGGTTTTGTTTTAATGAAAATGACAAAAAATCAGATATTTTAGAAGATGAATCTTTATAACAATTTTAAGAATTATAGTTTAACATAGAATTTGTTATCTTGAATGAAGTTTCTATGATTGGTAAAAATTTTATAGCTTAATTTTATGCTATTTTAAAAAAATTAAAGATGACAGATGATTCCAGTCTCTTTGCAAAAATAAACATTATGTTTGTTAATAATTTTATGCAACTACCACTAGTCTTAAACCTAGCTTTATATATGCCAGATAACATTACTCTAATTTCTTCTAATAATTTCTATCTTACTTCTAATATCCAAAATTTTATCCAAAGAACAAAAAACAAATATAATATTAACTCTTCATTGATTGGTACACACTCTGTTACTAATACTACAGAAAGAAGTCTTTGGTTAAACATTATACAACTGCAACAGATAAACAGTGAGTTTGTTATTACAACTAATCAGATGTCATGTAACATTATGAATTTGTAATAATAAGGTTTCAAGACATGGATTAGATTTGGCAAATGTTTTATTTATTTCTCTATCTAGTTTTTGTGTTTATTAATAACTTAACTAACTATCATTATCTACTATTAAAGTAACTTTTGATCTCTCTTCCTCTAATTGGAAGTGCCAAAAGATAAGTATTACTTTATTAAAATTATGCTTTTTATATATTTTGATTGTTACTAATAAATTTTATTTATTTTTCAGGTTCTATTCTTATTTTCCTACCATTTTGTCATTATATAATCATACTACTGCAGGTTTCACCTAAACTGAGTAAATAGTGGAATCTGTTGGTTTTACTTTTAATTTATTTTATTATAACTATACTAACCTACCCTTTTAGTACCTGGATCCTACCACTCTGAAACACCATATTTATGACCCTATGCCATTTCTGTTTTGGTCATATTCATATTGCTGAGATTGTTTGAACATTGGGGCATGATTATGCATGTTTCACCATTATAAGGTCAATTATGCATAATCAATTCTGGGTCCTAATCAGTGCTTGTGCAACATATTATAACACACAAGCCATCACAAATTTTTTACCTGTAACAATACTATAATTTTAAAAGAACCAATGCATCAAATAGATGATCCTTTTTATGCTAATATTCTAAAAAGTATGCATAAAAGAAATCTTACAGAAGTTCATAAATCTACTCTGTGATCAAAAATTTTTGATGATAATTGAGTTAATTCAATAGATGCTACCTTTCTTGTAACAAGGAATGATCTTTATGTTCAAATTAATTTTGAAGCAACAAGAGAATATGCTTATTATAATAATCAACCACTTATTTATTCTTGTACACAAGATTCTTACAATCATAACATTCTTACTGAAAATAATTCTCTTAGATTTCTAGCAACATCTGACACAAAAGATAATGCAGTCTGTGGCATTCTGCCCTTATTCATAAATATGAAAGTTGTTATAACTATAAATATTTGTGCAAATGATAATCTTGCAAATGGTTTTTAAGGAATTCTTTAAGAAATTGTATATGATAAAGATTTAATTGACCCTTTGATTAGTAGTGAAAATGTTATAATTTTAAAAAGTTCACCAAAATATGTTATTATTGAACTAATAGGTAGAAATTCTGGCTCATACCAAGATCTTTAACAAAATCATGCACCTATCTATTCTATTAAATGTCCTTGCATACATACTATTTGGAAATCTGATAGCTCAAAAATTCAAAGATTTCAACGTTTTCAACTGGCCATAACCCCTGCATTCACATTCACTGATTACAAATGCCAAGAAGTACTCTACAAAAAGCAATAATTGATCTAACTGGCAGTAATACAAGTAATGGTCTATACATGATGCTTTCTCTAGTGCAAAGATTGAACGATTTACTAATTCTACAACCATTTGATGAATCTATATTGAATATGAGAATATCACCTGCACTTTATGCTGAATTTGATAGACTCGATGAATGTGCACAGAGAACTGCCCAATTAAAAGAATGACCAAGCACATAAAATATCTTTTCATTATTTTTTTCTACCCTAAAATAGTATTAACAAATTATATTCATCTTCTAAATTAATTCTCTCTTTTACTTCTTTTTTCAAAAATAATCGATTAATAGATTAGTCTGATTTCATGACCAACGTCGTTTAGCATATCCTTAGTCCTAAAATAATCACACACTATTATTATAGTGATCTGCTACATACTAAATCTGACTGAATGTGTACTGATTAACTTTTATAATTTAGCTCAATCCTTAATTTAGTATATTATTCCATTATCAAGACTTTCAAATCATCTACACCAGTAGAATAAATTTCAGCTTTATAAAACCACAAATACATTCTTTTTATATTCTTTAATTCTGATAAATAGCATATAGTTATCAGACACAAAATAACTGTAAACTTTTAATATCTGTGAGCTTGATTAAATTTATTAAGAAATAAAATACGTATTAACATCATTTAAGTAGCTAATCGAGCTGATAATCAACCATTTTGCTGACAAATTAACTTTATAAATTTTAAAAAAATCAACTAGCACAACTCAATAAAACATAATGTAAACCCTAAGCAATATTATTGCTGCTATCCTAGATTAATTAATGACTTGTGCTGCTAAAAGACCCGACTCTAATGGAAGATGTTTATGACAAAAGTGAGGTTTATGCCTAATGTACGATTAAAAGTAGGCATGCTTTTTAATACGATCAGGTTATTTTTATGAGAAACGGTGCAGTTACTAATGTTATTACTTTCATCTTTCTTATATACACAAATTTTAACACTTTCTTACATAATTTGATTATTTATACTATATTTGAATCTCAAAATTAATTATATCCTTTATATGCTCAGCAATTATTTCACTTTACTAAGCTACTCTATGCCATCGATGTTTACATACGCAATAAGCATACTGCCTTAAACTCACGATTACCGATTCCGATCGTTTATAACGTGGGTCACGTGGACACTACACATTTGCTTCTCTTTTCCTTAGAAGTTAAGTTCATATTTACTATGTATTAATTTTTTATTTTCAAAACCTTTTACTAACATGACTAATTGTCTATTACTCTAATATTATAAATCAACCCTTCTTATCAAATACACCGCATACTATTTCCCACATAACATTAGCAAAACTACTTGCGTAAAACTTTAAACCATATCATTTTTAGCTATTTTTAATGGCACTCACCTTTATTGATTTGGCGAAATAACTCCTCAGAAATCATATGCTTACGTCACTTAGCCAAATCGTGTGCATGCTGCCAGGCATCCCTTTATACCAGTCAAATTAATAATAATCTGATACTCAATAAATTCTATATAGCACATCCATGATTGATTAGATTGTTTAAAAAACAACATTTTAATGTGTAAATGCGAACAATTATTGAATAATATATAGATAAATTTGCCTGCAAAAGATTACAATTTAAAAATAACATTTCCAACTAAGTTAAAAAAATAAAAAAACGACCATAGGACAGTCACGATAGCAGGGTAATATTTTGAAATTCATAATAATATAAACTTTTTTGCAACAACTCTAAATAGGTTTTAAATTATAATTTCATGATGATTTTATTTTATTCTAAATTAATAAATTTTAAAATATCCTATAAGCAAATATCTAATACTTATATATGATAGAAATTTATGACCATAATTTTACTTCAGCATTGGCAAACAATTTATATAAATTTCATGGTAATTTATTACTTAACAAGAAATTAAGTCAGTTTGAAATTTTTATATCAATATTAATTAACAAATACAAACATAATAACATTATTACTTGTATATTATAAAAATCCAAAATATCGAAAATGCAGTAATAAGCTAATATAATTTGATTACTTAATTTATGCCTAACTCTAACAACGTATACACTATACATGTTTATTATACCATGTATAAAAAAAATTTAAACTGTGTACGTATCAATATGCGCTATACAGATATGATCTATCAGTTAGTACAAGCCACTAAGCCATAAAAGTTACATTGTATAAACCGTCCAGTTCAACTCAAACTAAAAGTTTAAAAATCTTTAGTTCTTTAACATCCGTGAACAATATCCCAACATTTAAACAGAGTAGACATTAAATCTGTTAATGCAAGTAATAAAACATTATGCTAGTATGAATGCTAAAATTTTTTATTTTAACTCTTATCTTCGTTTAAAAATTCCGTTCCTGGTTTTGCGCGATGGCGTCGCGCAGCTATCTAGTGTTTAATTTGCACAATTTTATTGGCCAAAATCTCGTGTAACCGAAAATTTTTGGTAGTTAGACTCGCATTGCCAACCCTGATCGACCAATCAGGATGCAGGAACAGGTGTAACGTTTTATTTTATTTTTTTTATATTAATGGTGAGGACGTTTTTTTAAAATCAATAAAAACGAATATTTAGAACTTTCTTTTGAATCTTAAATTTGAGTTACTAAGAAACCAATTACGTTAGCGAAATTCAAGTTTACAGAGTTAGTGTTGTTTGTTTAATTTACAAACCTGGCGTTTCACTGGCATATAATTCCTAGGAGATACATTCTGCCGTAGGTTTTGTCTGAGGGAATGATTAAAGA